GCCATTGGATTGCAGAGAGACACAGGATTGGCTGCGGCCAGGTGGTCCAATATGTCTGCGCCCTAGTCCGACGCCACACCCCACCACATGCCTTGTGATGGTGAGCGTACATTTCGAGTGTCAACCTCCGCCTACGACAGATGGCAATGCTTAGCGAATTGAGGAAGGATTAATGAGAGAGCGCGATTTAGTTGGTGCTAACTCCATTCTAAAGTCGGAGGTCAGCTACTCAAATAGAATCACTGTTTCTATGGTTAATTAACGCATTTGCTTTGCGGCTTCTTGTTTTTTTGTCCTGGTTGTTAACATTGTCTTACTGTATCCTTTTTTCAGATTTTGGCTTTTTTAACTTTTTATTGTGTGCTTTTTGTGATGATTTCCTATATTTATTGCGTCTGAGATCTCAAGGCGTTGCGCTCTCTTCTACCATTTGCAGATAGTGTCCCTATATATTGAGCCTAAGTTTCTAATTTGGTATACCGTACACGTTAACGTCAGTATTTTTTTCCCCTTTGAGTCTAATTTGTATTCGGTTAACTCACCGTCGTCATGCAATTTGAGTTGTGCCTTTCAACTCGTCTTGAGTCCTATCGTTGTATCTTGCTTACACACTCTCACCATCAACATTTAGTGAATTTGAATGTATAATGCCATTCTTTGTACACTGCTGTTTGTGAAATACATATTTGGTCCCGCTACTTATTGTGGTTTTGGTTCCAAATTCGTGTTTTTTTGTAGACATGAACCGAGCAACCTCTCAATGTTGTTTAGTTCGATCGCCATGGTAAATGCCCAACCTACTTGTGTTTCAGGACATCATAGCGTCAAACAGAGGTTTGATTGATGGCTTCATCACCAAAGAGCTGGAAATGCTTGATTAAAATCACCAGTGATCTTCCTGCGGTACACTAGTGCGCAATCTAAAATGAGAGCTCGACGATCCTGCCGAGTATTCATGTTACCTTTGGTAACGTAGCTTAATAATGTGGTTTAATAATATAATCTAATAATTTTGTGATAATGTGGATCGGTTATGTAGTTTACTGTGTAAAGCTTTAAGTTCACACGAAGACGTTGTAGGACCATCTGCTTGAATCAGTGCTCTTTCCTATTTACTCGGGGCTGTCGATTGGAATCATCGGAGCGTTCCACAAAGACTTTTGTAGCTCACCGCTATGACCTTGCAGATTTAGACCCAAAGATTCCATTTATTTACGAATGTAGTTTCGTACAAATTTCTTTGATGGGACCACACTTACTCGGTGGCGTTGCTCATGGTGACCCATTAGGACATTTTAATTAATCATCGGCCCGTGGCGGGGAAGAAAAATTTTTTTGTCGTTGAAAATTACTGTGAAGTCAACTTCATAATGCATCTATGTCGTTGTTATTTTATTTCGAAGAGCCTCTCCATAACACCGTCATTCAATCGCTAATTTAAAAAGTATGCAACGAGCTTATATTGAAAATCATGATGTTTTCGAATGTTTGTGCGTAATTTGTTAATTATGATTATTTGCTTTCTTCGAGATAGTTAATTGGGCGATTATCGTCTTCCTTACGTGCCAATCTCCGTTTGGTGTCTACCGCACGTCCTCTCGAAATGAAAATGTTGGATTCTTCTGATCGTCTAGCAGCACTTCGTCAGGAAATGCAAAAACGACACTTGGATGCCTTTATCCTACCAATGGAGGATAGTCACTTTAGCGAATACCTCGCCGCTATTGATAAACGCATCGCCTACATATCAGGCTTTACGGGCTCTGCAGGCACAGCAGTAATTACGGTTGGAGACAAGGCTGCGCTATGGACGGACGGTCGGTACCACTGTCAGGCATGTCTCGTGTTTCTATTGCCGCACCCTACTTGTAATTGAGGTCCATCAGTGTCTTTTCTGAGCTCTAATTGCCTTGAAATAACCGGATAAGTAGATCCGCACGAACTCCATCGATGTGATGCATTTTCACTAATTGTTTTACACCTCACCGTTTTCGTGTATATTCAACAAAATGTTGCAGTGTATAGTGGTCTTAATAATCTCGGACTGTCACCAATCAGTCTGCTTTTTTCAGCAGCATAAAATTAGGACACATTCACAATATTATCTCATATTTTAATGCTTTATCATATTCCGAACTTATATACGGTTGGGTGCGTAATTTAGGAGTCTATTAGCTCAATTTGGATTTATTTTTCACCTAGGTCTCATCGAGGTATTGATTTAACAAGATATGGCCTCTGTAAATTCTTGTTGCTGCTTCACGAAAATATTTGCGTCGATTTGTCGGTCTGAAATTTAAATTGTCACCCTACTGCACTAATTTTTATTTGATGTAATGTGCATGTAAAAGAACGACGCATCTCCTATTTCACTAGTTTTTTGAGATTTTTACAAATTGGCAGGATTTTTTTATAGGCCTCCAGGGAACTTGACTCCAACTGGATCCTAATGCGCGAGGGTCTTCCTGATGTGCCAACGATACCCTCCTGGCTCTCCCAGGTAACACCACCGTCTGGCTGCATTGGGTTTGACCCTCATCAGTTGCCTTTAAGCACTGTAAGAGCTATTCAACGCGAGTTAGATGTCTCCAGCACTGAAGCATCTTCACGTCGTTCCCTCGTACCTCTCGAAGACATGAATCTAGTGGATCTTGTGTGGCAGGAAAGACCTTCCCGACAGAGCAATCCCATTCGTGTAGTCCCAGTGGAGTCATTCGCGGGACAATCATGGGAGCAGAAGTTGAGTATCCTTCGGGAACGGTTGAAGTCGAAGGGTGCCAGTGCTCTCGTCATCTTCCAAATGGACGAAATTGCATGGCTTTTCAACCTTCGTGGATCGGATATTAAATTCAATCCCCTATTCTTCTCTTACGCAGTCGTCACGATGGACACTGTGCACTTATTTGTGGATTGGAAACGCGGCCCAAACTCGGTTGATTTTGAAGAATACCTTCGGTCACCCTCACATCCGGTACGCGTAACATTCTTTTAAACGTATCTGCTACTGCTACTAATTTAGTAAGCATTATTTATTTTAGGTAGTGCTTCACCCTTACGATGAATTTTGTTCCTGGTTAACGACAGATTCATCGTGGTGCAGCGGCCGTGTTTGGCTTCCTATCATGTCAAGTTACTTTATTGCGTGTGCTGTTCCAGAGGATCAGCGTCTGTTTGATTTTTCGCCTGTGGCAAGTTTAAAGGCAATTAAAAACCCAACGGAAATAGAGGGGATGCGAATCGCCAACCTCGTTGATTCCTTAGCACTTTGTGATTTCCTTGCCTGGCTTGACGATGTGTCACAGGCCGGCAAAATGGATCCGACGGCTGTAACGCCTTGCGACGTGCCTGGGGTTAGTCCTCCCACGTCTCTGAACGAGGCATCTCTTGCGGCCTATCTTGACGCCATTCGGCTTACTTCGGATGGCTGTCACGGGCTTAGCTTCCCTACGATTCCTGGAGCAGGTATAAATTAATGCACATCTTCTTCTTCTTCTTCTAAAGTTACTGTATTCTGCTAGTGGCAACACTTCACAGCAGATGCCTCGCGCACATTCCTCCAATTTAACCCTCACCGCCTGTTGTAATTGTTATTGGTGAACAAAAGCTGCTTGAAGCGACGTCGGTAAAATAAGCCAAGATTTTTTGTTGCAACACTACCGTTTTGTTCTCAATCGAGACGATTATTTGGGTAAACAGTAACAGAACCTTTAAATTGTGTATTTTGTCCGAATTAATTGGGTATCCATTCGGAAGTTGTGGTAACTGATACAATCATCATGGAACCAGTAATAATATGCTGCAGCCGCTTCTTAAAAACCTCAATGTGGGTGTTGAAACTTTACTAAATTTTATGGTTCGTCTTACCCATTGAACACGTGAAAGTCCACTTATAATTGCATTTCAGTGGAGGGTTAGGTGTCCATAATGACTAAATTCTTCAGAAATTTTTAGCGCATCATCTGATCGCTTAATACTTGAGTCTGCAAAACAGATATGCAGGAGTGGTTGTGTTAAGTGATGTGGTCACAGGCGAGCACGACCTAACGGGATTTCTTCAGCCACTTAATCTCGTTGACTTTTTGTAAGGTAATCAACATCGTAACTTTTCTTCTGAATCGGGCCACCTAGCTAGGAGATACCCACTTAACTTTTTTAGACTCAAACGGAGCTGTGATTCATTACAGTGTTAGTGAAAATTCAGAAGGCTCGGAAGTAACTGCCAATTCCCTATTTTTGGTCGATTCTGGAGGTCAATATGCCACTGGCACAACTGATGTCACTCGAACTGTTCATTTGGGGACGCCTTCGGAGGAACAAATAACTGACTACACGCAAGTTCTGAAAGCTCATGCGTGTCTTGCTAGCCTGGTAAGTGCACGTCTGATACTGCTGTCAAGACACAGTAGTATCTTCGGATATCACGGATTAACTAATATGTCTATGCTCTTATTAATGGGATCTAGGCTATTTATATCCGAATTTGTCTAATTTAACTAGCGTTTCCTTTTCCATGCGCTATTTTGTAGCTTCGCCTCTAAAGTCGTTGATTATTATTGTCCAGACATTTCCGGACAACACCGCAGGCACGAGGCTGGACGTTGTGTGCAGAGCCTCGATGTGGCGCAGTCAGCGCGATTACGCCCACGGAACGGGCCACGGGGTGGGCGCCAATCTCTGTGTCCACGAGGGTCCTATCGGCTTGTCCGGACGCCGATCTCAAGCTTCCTTCGCCACGGGAATCGGCGAACCCGGAATTCGCAAAAACATGGTACGTAGTGGTCAATTTGGCAGGAGCGCTGGGAGTTGCACGCTGGCGTGATCTAGCCAAGCGACGGAGCCGGGTTTTGCACTGAATTATCATGGAGCCGTCGGCGTAGAGCCGCAATTTGGCCCAGTTTTCGCTTTCGTTTACTTGGCACAGCGACGGGCCATGAAGTGGTTTATGGTTCTCGGGACTTACTTATCAACATTTACCACGGCTCATCTAAAAAACTCACGGCACGTTGTACTCGGAGAAATGCCCACTTTGTATGCCTTGTCACACAGGATGTGTGGTTTCTTAGCTCAGTAGTTTCCTTAATTCAGATCGAGGGCAGAAATTTCTATGGGAATCCCTAATTTTAAAATGACCCTCGCCACGCAAAAAATCTGCTGTGCAATTGAACAAGGCAAATTTCACAGACGCAATTACATTGCCCTTTTTTCGGGAAGGTGAAAAACTGCAGTAATTAGGAACTGGGACGTGCGACTTACGCAACATGGGGGTCATGAGAGCGGAAGACATGGTAACATCTTTGCTTCCACAATACCGAAAAGATTCATATTTGGTAAAAAAAATCTCAGTTTACAAAAAGAAGAGTTGAGTCGACTTGCATCATTAAGTGTAAATGGTATCGCAAAATCACCCTTTTTGTCCTAATTGTTACAGTATCACTGGTGTACCTCCATTTAACTTGTGAAGCCAGTTGAATTCACGATTCAGTGGTGACCACAGGGTGCATAAAAGCAAACGAAAGTCCATGTACATCAATTTATGCTGTGAGAGGACAAATTTGGCGGGGTAGCATCAAAGAGTCGCGATGAGTTTATTAGCGGCGTAATTACTTGTACAGTATACCTTAGTTTTTCGGAAATGTTTGTTCTGAGGATTCATTACTGAAAGCTACACCAAGCTTGTGGGAACTTTCAGTCTCATTCTAAACGTCTCAATCGTGTAGCCCAATGTCAAATGAGTGACGCTGCAGGTGGACACTAGCTTGCCACCTCAGTCCGCGGAAACGTACAGGTTTGTGAGTACAATGGCGCCACTGATGTGAAGGTTGGGGTTGACGAGTTGAGAAGCCATAACCGGACCCAAAGCACAGAAAAACTGGACTGGAACCTTTGCTGTGTGTGTTGTTGTCCTTACGGATTACTTATTAGTTTAGGGCCTCTATCAATGCGCATTTTTTTTCTACAAAAGTAGAAATTCCGTTTTCATTAATATCAAACGCATACTTAACAACCTGTTTGTGGGTAACGGCACCAGCTCGGCGCACGACGTTGGAAGGCTGCCCGCACGAATTAGCAAGGGGTCAACTACTGTGTCCTTTTTATGGGATGTGTAAAACTGTGCAAAACTGGGAAAAACTGAGCATTTTTAGCCTTCCCATGACCGACTGCCTTTTTCGGTCCACCTGGTAGCCCTCGGCTCCATTTACCCAATCTCTCTCCCCCTTCAGATAGTGACAATTGAACCAGGCTATTACTTGAACGACAAGTACGGTATTCGTCTGGAGAACGTGGTGCTAGTTGTTGACTGTGCCAGTGGCTCTCGTGAATCACCAGTTCCGTTCCTGGGCTTCGAGGCTCTCACCATGGTTCCTTTCCAACGGCGACTCATCGACCGATCGGCTCTGTTGCCTGCAGAGCTCGCGTGGCTCAACGCCTACCACGCCACCGTACGCGAGCGTCTCCTTGGACAGCTAAAGGTGGAACAGCGGGCTGGCAGTCCTAGCGCCGCGCGAAAACGCACTCGGGACTGGATCCTGCGCGAAACGGAGCCCTTGTGACATCGGCACGCCAGTGTGTGCCGCTGTGCTCGATACAGTTTTTTTTCTGTATCTACACTATTGATTGTTGGCTGCCAATGTTATAGTCTAATCTCTCTTTAAAAAATTTGGGGACCATTTTAACTGAAGGAGGGATATGTATGATTCCAGGAAAACAGGTGAAGAATTTGAGTTCAACTGCTTGTGTTGCCTTGCGCTCAAGCAAATGAAGATGGTGTGTATCAGCTCTGTGAGGAAGTGGGTCATTCGTTTTAACAATGCAGGAATTAGTCGTTTGGTGTTACTATCAAGCATTAAACACTTCAACTTGCAGTCTCCTGGAAACTTTGACTTCGAATCGTAGTTGATCTCGATAATGAGATTGAAGCATGACAATCAGGGAAGGTTAAATCGGCTTGCTAATGTGTTTAAATTACACCACAATGTATACTTTGCGTAATTTCGTACTTCAATGTGCCGCGGTTAAGTTTTGAAAGCGACTTCTATAAGCAATACTGATGCACACCAAAAAAACATTTTCACTATCAGCGGACAATATTAAGCCGAGGTTAGTCACTCCTAAGTTCAATTTTCTAATATATTTTAATAAAGGCCTTAAAGGTTCGCCTGATTTGACTTCTAAAGAGATAGCTTCCTTTTGCTGTCCCATATGGAAACAGTGATCCTATTTGAGTAGTTGACCTCCGACTTTAGAATGGAGTTAGCACCAACTAAATCGGGCTCTCTCATTAATCCTTCCTCAATTCGCTAAGCATTGCCATCTGTCGTAGGCGGAGGTTGACACTCGAAATATACGCTCACCATCACAAGGCATTTGGCCGGCTAACTGAACTGCAATTCCGAAAACAGGGCTTGACCATGAACTGGCCTACGAGAGAAGAACTCAGCTAACCCATTAGTTGTTGATGCAGACAAAGCAGAT